TTTTTTTCCGGAACCAGGGATTGAACTCAAGCCCTTGCGCTTGCCAGGGAAGCACTTATTCCACTGAGCCATCTCCCCTGCCCCTCTCCTCTTTTCTTTTGTAATTTTTGTGATACAAATTCTCACTAAGTCATTGAGATGCCCTGGCTGGTCTCAAACCTGTGACTATCCTGCCTCAGTGGCCCATAGTGCTAGGATTGTTGGCATGAGCTCCTATGCTGGGCTGGGGTGTGGCTTTCTTTTAAAGTGATTTAGACTTGAAAACTTGTTTCCACTCTCTCCAAGGGATGAATTTAATATCAAAGTTCTTCAGGCTTTTGTTGAACTCCATGAGTTTGCTGATCTCAACCTCGTACAAGCCTTAAGGTGAGTGTTTTGCTGCACATGGCACAGACCACACCAGGAGGCCCAGGCAGTAGTGGAGTCCTGGGCTTCTCTGTGATGTTCTGGCTGGACCACATGGCACTTTGCATTCGGCCCCTGAATCCCTGCCCATCAGAGTGGGAAGCTTCTGATGGCAACACTCAGCCTGTTCCAGGGCCAAGGAGGCTGTGACCTTATCTTGTCTGGTTCCTATTCTTAGACCTTGTCTGCCATAACATGGTGTTACTTATGTGGCCTCTTTCCTTGTGTTCTTTCTTATTTAAGCTGTGCACTGAAAGATTGGCCTTTGGATGTGACCCTCTTGGCGTGCTCAGCTGCACAGTCTGGGGTGGAAAAGTTTGTGAGCTGTGTGTAGGTGTCCTTGGACACTGATTGACATTTTCAGATTCAGTGCTTGAAAAGTCTGTATCCAGAGAAAGGTGCAGGCCTGGTACATGGCAAGTGTGTTCACGGCGTGGCTGTTGCCACTGTGGTTCCATGTCTGTGGGCCGCTGATCTCTGGACCAGAGCCAGAAAGGTTACTCATGAATCCCATGGGGTCATACTTTTGTGAGGCCCCACCTAGAGTAGGAGAGGACAGAGAGTTGTCATGTTGGCTCTGCTCCAGTGGGTCCTTGGCTTGTCACTCTGCCCTTGACCTGTTCTGAGGCACATGTGGTAGGAACTCTGGTGACAGCAGTGGTACCCAGGATGGCCCCACAGACCTCACTGGGCAGACAGACAGAAGGATAATGGATACTTCGAAAACCCGAGTTTCATAAGTTGTCAGAACTGCTTGATTTGGAAACAATAACAGTGAGGCTTTTTTATGGTAGGGGTCCATACAGGGAAATCTGGGAGGCTCAGGGCTAAGGAGAGTCCCTGGTGGAGGTACAAGGGCAGCAGAGGGGTTCCTAGGTTGGGGCTGTGCTGGTGTCCTATGTGGTCTGAGAAGCTATCTGAGGGAGACTGGTCATGGATGGGGCAGCACACAGTAGGGTGCTTTGGTGACAGAGGGGAGCATCCAAGTAGTCTGAGCTAACCCAAGATTGCTGGCCTGAGACGTGCAGGTGGCACAGTGGGTCAAATGTGAAAGTTTGAGCAGAGAGAGGCCCAAGTATGGGAATCCCAGGAAAGAGATAGGGTAAAAAGGATAGCAGTGGTCATCAGGGAGCAGCCTAAATGGGGACCTGCAAAGGAGGGAAAGTAACCTGAGGGCAAGAGAGCAGTGGCTTCTCCCTCTACACTTTCCACTAGTAGCATCAGTGCCTTAAAAGCGAAGGACAGTCAGAAGCTTCATCAGAGCCCATAGGTCAGAGCTTAGCACTCACTGTGTGCTGAAGGCACTCTACCTTTGAACATCACTGGGAAGATGGGGAGACTTGGCTGGCCACAGGGACATAGGGAACAGGACAGCCATGGATGGACCCTGCAATCAACCCTTCATGTGGACAGGGAGCAGGCGGGTCAAATGCTGTGCAGCCCAAGAGAACAGAGAGGGTGGGAGTGTCAGGGTGGGGTTTTCGATTTTAGGGAGGGTGATTAGCAGGAGACCTCAGGGAGGGGGGCATCTAAGAATAGCAGCATCTACTCAGCTGGGCCTGGTCCCTGAGTCAGGAGCCCAGGGAGTTAGCAGCAGCCACTGGCTGTGGCCTGAGGTGAGGCTGGTCCCTGGATATGTCCTCCTGAGTCTGCCCTTGCTTCCTGGGTGTAGTCCTGAGAGGGCAATGTGATCTCATGTCTGCTGTCAGGACTGTCGCAGCCATGGGATGTCATGGAGCTCTGGGGATCACCAGGTCAGATGCAGGAGACCATGTCAAGGGGGACAAGAAGTAGTGGGACCCTGGCCAAGCATATGGCAGGGGCAGCCAGCCTTGCCGAGTTGGTGAGCAGTTGGTAAATCTGCTTTGAATTACTGAGTGAAAGAAACCAAGTCTCTGCTGGTTCTGAGGCCCCCATGCTCCAGCCAGGTAGTACACAGGTGGATGGGTTCACATCCTCAGTGTGGCATGGTTGCTCCATGAGGGGTCTGTCTGTCCTCAGGCAGTTCTTATGGAGCTTCAGGCTGCCTGGAGAGGCTCAGAAGATTGATCGCATGATGGAGGCCTTCGCTTCCCGCTACTGTCTGTGCAACCCAGGCGTCTTCCAGTCCACAG